AGAATTTTTCCTATTGCAATATCTTTTTAACACAACATATGAAAACAATAGACGGGATGCCATCGTTAAAAATATGAAATTCAATACAATTCAGTAAATGAGATGCTCTACCAAAGTGTTTCGCAAAGGTATGTTCTGCTGTATTGCTGGTGTAGTCCCTCCCTCTTCCAACCTGAGTTGTCGTCAACATCCATAATTGTTATCCCTGTTCGACCTTGAATGCACCTAGATTTCAATCAGCGGGTATTGCTGACACCCCACAGTGGATCCTTTGAAGTAAAAAAAATGGGGTCTTTAACGCCGAATCGCAGGGGTGGTCTGCCGGGCCTGTATCCCTACACACCGTTTGACAGTGAAGAAGTCCATGTATACTTGCACTTGGCAATGACATAGCTGGTAGCAAACCAGCTCCACATGACTTCGGGATTGCAATTAACGGGACCAGAAGGCAGCTCGAGTGTCAAATAAACATGCTGCTTATTTTCACATAGGTAGGAAGTTCTGTTTTCAGGCCACTCACTTTATCGCTTTTCTCCATCTAAGGCAGAGTTATGACTGCAATGCCATGGTGAGTCTAAAGTGTGTGAAGAGCAATGAGAGCAGAGAAACTAGCTTCACGCTCCTTGAAAATGCCGCCAGCGACTTCCTTTATTACTGCAGTCTATGGCATTATGCCATTGTTGTGCCATATGGCACTCATGTTTTACTTATATGTTTGGAACTTACAATTACACCACTAAAAGTCTAAATTCTATGGGCTTTTTCTTCTATTGGAGTTTAACTGTGTGATATACAAGTCATGTACCACGGTAGTACTTAAAAGTTAACTTGAAACTTAAGTCCTGTATGTAGTTTTAATGCTTTATAACATAACTTCCATGCATGTAGATTTAATACTTTTAAGTAATGTTATGTGATAGATGTGAGTATTGTGAGAAACATGTCTTCTATATGACATTACCCCATCAATGCCCTAAAATGATGACTTTTAAAACAGTCTGACTCCATTCTCTTCCTCATAAAACAAACAGCCCTGCCAGAGAGCCACCCCCACCTCTTTAGCTGTCTCCTGCAGAAGACAAACATGTTTTTATAACCCAGTTTCATGAAAACCACAAGGTTATCCCTTAATCCACTTCTTCTCCTGTCCTGCTATGATGAACTGGGAGTCATCTTGTTGTTATTAAGACCTTCTAACTCCTTTGAAGCCAGAGAACACAGAGGAAGGAAGCCTTTGTAGGGGGGACTTTGTGGCACTGAGGTAAGCCTGTGCATTTCTAGTGATAGTGTGCCAAGGATGTTGTTCGATTTTGTCAAACTAGAATTCCACGTGACTCCATCCATCAATTTTTAGTCAGCTTGTGTAAGTTATTTTTTGACCTCGTAGATGAATTTGAATGGGCTTGTCATGAATATTGACAATCTCACATCATTACATAGCAGCATACCATCAGAATTAGGTACAGGATTTTTCAGCATCTACTTCTTGGGCTTGGTAGTACTCCTCATTGTCAAGTGTCTGTATCCAACCATTTCTACTGATGTGTTACAATATATGGTCTACCTAAGACCCGATTTACTTACGGACGAAAACTGTGTATGCAAGGCGGCGTACAAAAACTGCGTACATTGTACATCAACGTGTAAATTGGCCTGCTTCACGTCAAGAACCTACGTTCAAATCGTACACCAGCCCTCAAGGTAACCTATGATCTGCACGTACAGTCATGACATACATCAAGGCAGGCAAAATTTACGCACAGGAAAAATTCAACGTACGCAGTTTTCCTTCCATCAGACTTTTGCCTAAGTGTAAATCAGGTCTAAATCCAACTCTCAAGAGCAGATTTATCACCTCAGCATGGGTGTACATGAACTCCAAGACACGACTTTGTTTTGACTGTGCCGAGCTGTAACTTTCTCCTCTATTTACTACCCAAGGGCTGATCCTGATAACCCTCCCATCTTAGGTTCAGTGTCCCTCATGTTTGCTTTCTTAAGACTGTATGACCTGTGTTTGTATCTCCTTCAGGGAAAAACAGTTGAAGGATATTGTAAAGATGACTTGTGTTCAGGTCTTATAGTTAGAAAACAAAGAAATTGTACAGGGGATACAACAAGACCTATATTCTCCTACTTAGCCATACTTAGCTGTCTAAAATGAACTTTCCTCAAAGTTTGAATCATCATCATTTAGGGCATTTTCCAAATAATAGCAAGAAAGATATGATGTTACTGAAGCCTAAATAGCAGATGACTGTCCAATACATTGTTGCCATCATGTTTTAAAGATGTACACCATCTATATTGTTAGCAAATTGCATCTACCCATCACACTACCTGGTACAAGTTATATGTCAAATATTCTCTTGTGATGAAGGATTGAATGTACATCAGATGCACCTGTTTACAAACCATTTGCAACAGACAAAATCCACCTCCATAACAGGTGTTATTTTGATCCGTGGCAGCTGAGGGTGCATCCATCTGGTCTCTGTATCTTTAGCGACCACCTAGAAGAGTCCAAGAGGGTCAGAGCTATTGAGATGACGGCCACCCATTAGATCATACAATCCTCTACACAAGTCTCAGCGAAACTGAGAATTGAAACTCCCAGGTTTTCTTTTCCAGACATTCTTGTCTATCAGGTTACGGAGAAGTTAGTGATGAAAGGTTATGATGTAAATATTTGCGTTAATAGCTAAGAATAGGTTTCCTGTGAAGTTTTATGTACAACTTTGTTTGTTTGAACCATTCCTTATTCACGAGAAGCTCAAACCGACCTGCAGGCCGCTTTTCATCGAGGTCATGAGGGAAGAGGTAATCGTCAGAGAAAATATATTGGAAAGATAACGGTCAAGTTAACTCACTCACTATCCAAGTTTTGATTAGACTAAGTTAAAGTCCTAATAAATCTATACCCATATTTTACACATATGTGGTACAGTACAAAAAAACATATAAGAATGAGAGCTTGTATATGCCATATGGGTTGTGTCCGTTTGTTTTGGTTGTTTCTGATATTGCTGTTACTGTAAATGTGTATCACGTACTTCAACATGACCAAAAGCGGCCAACAGTTTTGTATAGGATGTTATGGTACGGTCTGCGATCTTGCCTTCCTTGGGGGAGGTCCTGTTTTTCTCAGCTTGGGTGAGCGAGATTTAAGGTTGGAGATGACACAAAGATCCTAGAAGTGATGATTCAGGATGTTTATGTGCCAACTTTTATACATGACTGTGCCACTAGACTTGCTCAGGTCACAGAATCAGTCATGTTTTGTTATGGCACATTCCAATGACGGGGTTAGGTGCAGGTGAATCCTAGAGAATGATCAAAAAGGTTTGAGATGACACAAAGATCCTAGAAGTGATGATTCAGGATGTTTTTGTGCCAACTTTTATACATGACCGTGCCACAAGACTTGCTCAGTGTCACGAAATCAGTCATGTTTTATTATGTCTCATTCCAGAGACAAGGTTAGGTGCAGGTGAATCCCAAAGAATGATCCAAGGGGATGACACAAAGATTCTAGAGTGCTGATTCAGATTGTTTTTTTTATGTGCCAACTTTTATCCATGACCATGCTACAAGACTTGCTCACGGAATGGGTCATGTTTTATTATGTCACATTCCAGAGACAAGGTTAGGTGCAGGTGAATCCCAAAGAATGATCAAAGGTTTCAGATGATGCAAAGAACCTAGAAGTTATGATTCAGGATGTTTTTGTGCCAACTTTTATACATGACCGTGCCACAAGACTTGTTCGGAGTCACGAAATGGGTCATGTTTTATTATGTCACATTCCAGTGACAAGGTTAGGTGCAGGTGACTCTGAGTGAGTGAACTTGTTGACGTCAGGTTGTTGGCATTTCGGTGAATTACCATGACCCAAGCCATGTTTAACAAATTTTCAGGTGACTAGAGGGTAAGGTGTCAGTGACCAAATTTGGCAATCTTCCAAGAGTATTGCTAGTTAGTAAGTAGTAACAAGTATAAACTGAAGTTGCTTATTCAGTTGTTTCTGCTTGCCCAAAATATCATCACAATACATTAATACATACTTGTACATTGGAGTTTACAAGTTAGATGGGTATGTTATTAAAGGATAATGTGATGAAATAAAAGATATTTTTTCTGGGTTGCTGCTAAGATTGACGGTGTGCAGATTAACAAATTGACAGGTTTTTAAACAGTTTTCTCTTTTCGAGACTCAACAATTGACATTACTTGATTGATTGCACCTAACATTGCAACATGCCTTTGCCATTAATGACATAAAGAGGCTTTAGACCTCCGCTCTTCCACCCTGAAATTCTTGCATCACCGCACAGTTTCCCTCGGCTTCCGTTCTTGAACACCCTCCCTTGCCGACTCGTAAACAATAGCAAGTTGTCGGGGAAAATAAACTTACCTACATATGGTCAAGTGGCTGGCTTTATTGAAGCAATGTTTGCTTTATTCAACGTATTAATCACGTATGTACCAGATATGGGTCGTGCCATTAAGTCGCTATCAAGTACAGATAAGGTAGATGCTATAAAAAGAATCCACATGTTTTGGGCAGAACGGAAACACAAGTATCCAGTCGGCATTCTTGCTTTGTGGCATACCGTGAAAACGCCAAGTCACGTCCCCTTACCTCGGACAACCCCAGGATACAAAATGTAACCAGGCCCAGCTTCATGTTTACCTAGAAAGCCCCTCAGAGCTATTAACCACTTCAGGCGGCTACAAGCCTGATGAGAAGGTGTTTCGCCCCCCTCTAGAAAGAAGGTTTACACCAAAACAAGCAAATCCTAGAGTCCTAATAGAGCTCACACCCCCACTGTGTTCAAGGTAAGTTGGGCAATAACACCTGTGACCTGTAGCCCTCCCGCCCCTACCCCACCGTACATCTGACACCGTTCTCCGCAAACAACACTATTCACTCCCATTCAACTTCCGCTAACACCGCGGAAAGTTTATTTCCCCCCTTGAACACGTAGCTATTCATTGGTGAATGCCTACATGAATCATGGCATATATCCGCTCATAAAGGGGGGTCCTTACCCCTAGAAAAATATTTGGGAAGGCAAATTTGATTTCAGTCTTTCTTCAGCCTCCTTTGTGACGAGCGGCGCTGCTGCGAAATTCACTTACGAGATTTCGACCAAAGCCTCTTTGCAGGCTGGATTAGCAAATTTACCGGCAATTATTGACGACAAAGTGATGTTTTTACCATCTTAATGCTTTGGAAAATCGTTGTTGTATCTTGAAAGACTTTGACAAGCATTTTTGGAGGACAAGAACAGTCGACAAAAGTGCCACAGGTACAGAATTGACGCAGGGTTCCGTATCTCTGATATGAAAAATGGATCTTTAGTTTGGTGACTTCCAAAACATTTGTCTTCTCCTTATCATCGGTTGCCTGGAGAAGCAGTAGCAATAAAGCTCTCGACGTATTTATCGGGATTGGACAAAGATACTCCGCGCTAAAGAGAACAGGCTTTTCGCTGACGATGTTTGGGGAACAAACAAGAAGATGTGCACAGAACTGATGGCTAAGGTCCGGGCAAGACGCATAGCTCCGATTCCAGAGGTAGGTTTTTTGTCAGACACTTTCATGCAGCCTTTACAAAGTTCCTATATGCTGATAACAACTTGTCAAATATCTAGATGGCATACAACGTAGTCTTATCATCTTCATCGGTAAAGCGCCACCGTTAAACTTTGTTTTCTTCTGTTGTGGTTTTCAGTGTGTGTCGCTGAAAACTTTGTGTTTGAGTTGTTACGAAGGGAGGAGGCCTGACTTATCTCTAAAATGCCTTCAATGGACATTTGCGGTACATTTATCAAGTGAGATGGACAAACAACAGAAATTCTTTTCCCTCCTATCCTATCTTGCGGTTCCTTGTCGAGCAAACAACGCGGACATTTATCTGAGCCGGTTGATGCCAAAAATCCACACGACAAGAAAACTCCATAAGCCGAGCCCTTTGATGTAGGTGGTCAGTTTGATACTACTTAGTGACTGATGCACTTTAATAGCCCTGAGCTGTAAGAACTTGCCACAAAGGCCTATCAAAAACGTATTAACCAAGGAACAGGTAATCCCCTTTGTGCAAAGGCGTCAGAAAGAAGGTAAGAGGTTGTTTTAAATACACGTGGATTAAAAATAGATGTAGAAAGTTCTTGTTTCTGTATATAGCAGTTTAGAGTAGGTTTGTGTACTCATTGTTCTGTATTTAAAACAAATTGGTATAAACTTAGAGTACAAGAAGATCAAAAAGAGCTGTGTGTGCTTGAATCAAATCCTGTGTTCAAATTAGCCACGTGTGAAGCCAACTTTGTCTTGTTAAATCTCTTAAAGACCTGAAGGTATGCCTCTCTGTGTTTGACATGTTTCTGTTTCTCACCAACCAATAGTTGACAAAAATGCAAACAGAATTTCGTGACCTTCACAGATACTTCTTGAAGGCCGATGAGTGTCTTACGTAGGCAATAGTTCCGATCTTTTGTGTACGTGGAAAACATGAGTACAGCGGCTTCTTTGGGTCCTACCTTTTGCAAATACAGGTATGCGTAATACGGTATGTATAATTAGCTGGTACAGAAGGTGCTTTGAAGGCTTTCACAACTATCCAGTAGTTCTATTCACTGTGTCAGACAAAGATGTGCCAAAAACTGCAGTAAGACAAGAATTAAAGTACTGTTAGACAGTTATTTGCCAGGTACTTTTAGCCTGGGTGCCATCCTATTTGTATAACGGGGCTTGGAGCCTCCTATACCTGCTCCCTCGGATTTGGAGCCCTGGTATACAAATACATGTAGGATGGCACCCAGGCTAAGTTGCCTTCAACGTTTGGTAGGAAAATGTACTCTTCTTGAAAGTTCTCGAAGCATTAGTGTAACGTCAGTGTTCCAAATAAAAGTACCAGAAACTGAGAAAGCACATAAGCCTTGGATGTTTGTAATACAGCTTTTACTTATTCATTGCCAACTGTATTAGCCTGGGTGCCAGACCCATAGCACACTAGCAAGTTGTGTCCAGCGTGCTATGGGTCTGGCATCCAGACTACAACTGTATGTGTATAGCTCTTTTCAAAACCACTTGTGCCCAATTTCGCATGTCTATCAAAGAATCATTTAATTCCAATTTGAACCACAACTGGAGGGTTAAATCCAGTTGAAAGTCAAGGCCATGAGTCGGGACCTACCCTGCTGCTGTTGATGGTAGATCTCGCTGATAGCACAATTTACAACTCACCTTCATGCTCCAGCACTCCAAGTATACCCTGTGACTGGCATGTCCTAATTTTGGCCTGCAGAAACAGGCTTTGGGCACGTTCTGCTGGTATATTCCTTGACCTTTTTCGACAGATATAATCAAGGCAGGGGCTTAAATGCAACAGGTGTTTGCCACCCTGATAGGTGGGGAAATTAAGAACGTGACTTGAGAAGGCTTCTTTATGTCTACCACTTTGCAGGGTAAACAGTAAGCACATGTTTCACAAATCAGACGATCAGTCACACACAAAAATTTAGCCAGGTTTGGGGTTTCATCTTTCATCCATGTCTTGTTGAAAATCTTTGAACAGATGTAGAAAGTGTCACACCAATAGACTACTACTAGTATTATTTCTACAATGTAATCTTGACATATAGCATGGAGAAATGCCTTATAATCTTTCATGAGGAATGCATTATGTAATAGAGGATCATAAATAATTATTTGTGGTCACGGCAGTGTTTCTGTGGTCACAGCAGTGTTTCTTTCTTTCTTCAAATTTTCGTGGTGACACAAATTCATGACACCACGGTTATGCCTCCCTTGTCTGACTACTGTTCTACAGAATTGTTCCAACCAGGAATTCAAAATACTGTGAAAACCTCCCTTTCCCCTCTCCTACTGCTAAATAAAACTACTGCTAAAACTCTACACTTTACAGTATCTGCTTGGCAAAATGGCCAAGATTTAGATTGTCATCCATAGCCTCCATAGCATGCCAAAAACTGGGGGGTTTTGGGGGTCTTCATGGTCTTTGGGAGCATTTATGTGCTATTTTCTGATTACATATAGACAACATAGCCGGCCTGGTTGAATAACCCCCATTTTTAGAACTGGGCTGATCAGAAAACAGCCGAAAAGACCACCAAACCCCGTTCTATTGAACCCTGCTACGGAGGCTACATTCATCCAACCAACCCAGACAGTCCTTTGTGTATTATAATCTACTGTCCATTCAGACACCTCTACTCCATAAAGTGCTGACATTGTGACACCTAGACGCTATTGTTTGATAATAAATAGGTGAGAAAATTACACCTCGTTTTGTAATCCGTAGGTGACAACTACATTGACTCCAGTATCATTTTATAGACTCCTAATGACTAGATGTGTTTTGACACCCCATGGTTGCTTCAAACACTTCTTGTATGATACATAGTCTCCACCAGACTTTTTTTGCAGGCTGAATAAATCATAGAAATCGGCCTAAAAGGGTGGCAAGAGAAGGTAGCCGGCCATCGACGATCAAATTGGCCTGCTAAGATTGGATTTCTACGATTTATTCAGCCTGCAAAAGAAGTCTGGTGGAGACTACATGATACATACAAATTAAATACAAGGTAATATCAAGCCAGTACATTTTCTTACACAGGGAATGGGTTGTAGATGTGTGTAGTTAATGAGGAACAGGTGAGGTTTGCTGTGTTTTCTGTGTACCTGAGCTTACTGGGTTACTCTCCCAGGGGGGCCTACTGTAGACAGCTCTATAAATCATGTGGTGTAGGAGGGTACAGCCAATCCATTGGTAAAGCCAGATTAAAGGGTTAGGAGATAATCTCAAAGCAGACCTTTTGGTGGCTGCAAGACAGTATCAAATTGGCTAGGCAGTATCCATTTGCCAGGCATAAAAAGATATGATAAATGATACCAGTACACAAAGAATTCCTGATAAAAATGCCTAATAAAACTTCCAAAAATAGGCCAAGGCTTAGATTTCTGCTTGATGAACATTTTGGGTAGGTCTTTTCCATGTTTAGAGAAAATTATGAAATAGAATACAAGTACATGTAGCAGGATTTACAGAAAACTGATGAGCTATAATTTTCCACTCTTTGGAAATTTCAATCTATAATGGAAATGTACTGGCATGAAATTGAAAGGGACATTTGCATGACAACATGTAACTGGTTTCATGAAGATGTCCCAGTTTACTAGACATTCTTTTGTTCGCAAATAGGACAAAAGTTTTTGTTTTGATCAAGTCAAAGAGAGCTTAGGACAAAGGGAAGTGGTCAAGTTGTATATGTTTTTTGGTTGTTTTTCTTGAAACTTTTGATCAGAAAAGCTGTGAAGTGCCTTTCCCTAGGGAGAGATAGCTTGCTGGACAGTTTGTAAATCAGGGTCCCACGGGATGGCCTCCAGGAAGTGATGTAATGTGTCTAAGCTGGGAAACCAGTGGGGTTGGTCCTGCTCTGGTTCTCATCTCCTCCCAGAGGACTCAGAAGTGCAGGAAAACACCTCATTTTGCTGTAATGTCTGCTCTGTTTCCTTGGATTTCTGTAGTGTGAAGTGAAACACTTTGACTGCTGAGGCTATAGAGGTAAGCTGTGTGCTTTTGTTCTCCAGAGTTCGGTCTATTGTATTGTGATTTTTGCATGTGTATTAGCCTTTGGTTTAGGATTTGCACATGTCTCTGGTGCTCAAAAATCATTCTATGTGTGTATTCCTGACAGTGAGAAAGTAGACATACATGTAGCATGTGTTTGTTTCAGCGCTGTCATTAAGTCATTTCTCACTTGAAGGAGAGATTGTACTGTACTGTGTGTTGTAGATTACCTGTGGAGATATACTAGAAGCTCGGAAGGAAAATTGGGGTTTTACCAATAAGCGTTTACACTTGTACAATGCAGAATACTGGAGCTATTTATGCAAAAATACAGACAAGGCTTATCTTATATTCAAGTCAGTGAAGGTGAAAAAAACTGTGTCACTTGCGATTGTAAGAGCATATTAGTAAAGCAGTATTACATGTGTCAGTTATTGTAGTTGTCATTTAATCCAATTTTTTTTAAAGAAAAGTAAATTAAGGAAGTTCCACTAGGTTTCTTACTACAATGTATTTGTATATTTGTATGAACTACCTTTGGCTTACCACTCCAGCTTGACATATGTCTGGTAACAGGTAATCACAGTATATTTCCTCGAAACTATTTGATTGGTAGCACCTACTGTATCCAATGATGACTCAATTCTGAGTCACCGAATCTCAGAAGCCGTAGCTGTTTCTTCTGATTCTTGTTCTTTTCCTGATTACTACACCTAGTTAGCCTCCGTAGCAGGCTTATAGAACTGGGGGTTTGGTGGTCTTTGGATGTTTTCTGATTAGCAAAAAATGGGGGTAATTCAACCAGGCCGGCTATATTGTCTATAGTATATGCAATCAGAAAATAGCACATAAAAGCTCATAAAGACCATGAAGACCCCCAAAACCCCCAGTTTTTGACATGCTATGGAGGTTAACACCTAGTACTGTAGTCAGTATGTCTACACACTTGTATATCATTCTGTACCTTGTCTATCCATCTCTTGTT